AGCATGTTTTTTGATCCGGTATTGGCTAAGGATATATATAATGTTATCACGTCTTTGCCCAATAAGAATTCTTCAGGAGACGATGGAATCACCATCATGGTCTGTAAAGCAACTGCGCATAAGATATCAACTCGATTAGCTGAACTGATAAACGCTTCATTCGTCCAGGGTAAATTTCCTGATTCATTAAAGTTGGCTTTGATAACACCGATATTAAAAAAAGGCGATCCAAAAATAATAAAAAATTACAGACCTATTTCTATCCTAAGCGTCTTCTCAAAGATAATAGAGAAGATTTTTGTTGCTAAGCTGTGGCCCTTTTTGGACAAACATAAAATCGTCACTGATCGCCAGTACGGTTTTCGCCCAGGTTGTTCCACCGCTACAGCAAATTTCGAGTACATCCAGCATTTATTCGACGAACTTGATGAAAAAAGAGTAGTTGTATCCGTGCAGTTCGATTTATCAAGTGCGTTTGACAGCGTCGATTGTCACATGGTATGCGACAAATTAGAAGCTTATGGCATCAGAGGAAACATTAACTCATGGATATCATCGTATCTCCAACATAGGAAGCTGCGAGTTAAAATACACAGAAACCTGTCGGACATCTACAACACAGACATGGGTACCCCTCAGGGTAGCGTACTTGGTCCTATAATATTTCTTCTCATCATTAATGATCTCCCAGAATACATTCAAGACGCAAAAATTTTCATGTACGCTGATGACACCACCGTTGCAGTTAGTGGACACAACGCAAATGAAGTTTCCATCAAAGTAAACAAAGTTTTACAACAATTTGACATATGGTGTTCTACAAATGGGTTGACCATTAATTACTGTAAAACCGTATTCACAGAAATTCACTCTGTCTACACCGCACCAAGTACTTTTTCCTTTAAGATGAAGGGTAATAATATTCCTAGGGTCAACAATGCTAAATTTTTAGACATTGTCATTGATCCTAATTTGTCCTGGATCGATCATGTCTCTAATGTCTGTGCAAAACTCAACCAAGCCCTTAATTTTTTGATTTTGTGAAGACCACCTCGTAAATGTATTGTTTGTGACGATGTATTACAATGTGAAATTGTTTTTTACTAAATAAACATTATTATTATTATTATTATTATTATTATTATTATCTTCCGGTATCTTCCTTGATGGGTATTATTATTGGGAGTTATTCGCAGACTTTGTCAATTCGAATAATCTCCTTTATGAACAGATCATTCCAGCGTTTTCCTAAATAAGTAACAGATCGACAGTATGACTGTTTGTTGCATTCTACCTATAATTGATTTGTCGATGTTTAGTTCTTGTATGTGTTTAGACATGGATTTGGGTATTATTCCTGTGGTTGACATAATTATTGGGTGGATTTGAACTTTCTCTACTTTCCAGAGTTCTTTTATTTCTACCTTTAGATCTTGATATTTTCTTATTTTTTCATTGTATGTTTTTGTTATATTATTAGTGTTTACTACTGCGTAGTCTACAAGATGAACAGTTTTATTATTATTATTATTATTTTAAAGCTTCTAGCCCGTTTACTCTGTTGCAGTTTCCATAATTATTTTTAAATTTGGGGCATGCATTGCGGACATGGCTTTGCTTATTCAACTGAAGAATTTTTGTCAATTTACAAAATGTCTGTCATGACCTTGGAACCGCGATAATCGTCTGCTATTGTTATTTTTATATTTAATTAAATATATAGCTTGAACTTATCAAACGACAGCCTTTATAAAATAGTCAGTTAATGAAATTTTCATACTTGGTGCGCCTGACTCTAGGGCCTCACTCGCCGGGCTTAGCGAGACCTCATCTCATAGGCGGGGGCAACATTTCAGATTTTGTAATTTACATACAGGTTGCTTGTCACTGGCTCTTAAACTAATTTCGAGTTCGGAAACAATTTGAAAGACGTTTGCATTTGCATATCAGCACTTTAAATTGTTTACGAATGTACGATGGCCTAAAAAGTTAAACTGGCAACTAATATATGACTATAATAATACCAGACAAATTAAAATGACCATCCATCCATATAACAAACAAAAAATATATATCAAATATAATAAATAATTAACCTAATGCTATTGATTACACAGTTACATTCTGTTATTCCATCACAAATTTTATTTTTTAAGGTAAAACCGTACCACTATACTCTTTGATTGCCTTACTTTATCCAAGAAATTGTCATTAAACAAACGCAACCTAGCGATAAGGAACCGATTCGAACCGCAGCGGTACCCGTGAGTGCAATCCAATCGAGATATTTAGACACATCGGTATATACACCTGTAAGACCTCGACGTCCACATCCAAGTCCCCAAGATACAACGCCTACTAACTGACCGTTGCAGACCAAAGGTCCTCCCGAATCGCCCTGAGGTACAACTAATTTTAACTAGGTATAATTCAATTAAGTGACAATTTACGTTGCACGAATCGGCATCACCGTTGACACTTCCCGCGCATAACATTCCGTAGCGAATGGCGACGTATTCCATACCTACATTACAATTTAGTATTTCCACGTAGGCAAACTGTAGCGCATTCATTCCAGTGGTCTAAAATATGTAAAACTCACCAAGTGACTTAGTTGAAGGTACCATTTAGACTTACAGAGTTCTCATGTGACTTTCCCCAACCAGAAATGATGCACTCTGTATGGAGCGCAGGCAACGATTTCGTTAAAGGTATTGGGCGTACCAAGTCATTCCACGGCTGGAAACCACGTGTTATCTGTAAAGCTTGGTCGTAAAAAAGCAAGATGTCATTATGTATTGTCACCGCCATAATGCAGATGTCATTCTGCAACGTCCTCCAGTTGTAGTTTGGGTGGGCAGTTATCTTAAACACGTTGTACTTGTATGCTGCGCCATTTTGTTTGAGATGTCCTACAAGTACGTTTAAGTCGGTCGTCCTAAGACTAGCCCCAGTCTCGGAGAAAGAGCAGTGTGCTGCTGTTAAAATTCTTTGCGAATCTATGATTGAGCCTCCGCATATATGTTGATTTTTATATGTGATAGATACCTAAAAGTATAAATCATTCACTGAAACGAGTTGCACATGCCATTTGGGCTTGTTAATGCACCGGCTTTTTAAAAAAGGTCAGGTTTCACGAAATTTGTTTCTGTTTAACTTTAAAGCAATAAACCACGTGAAGTGTTGGATCTACGTCCGTCTGGTTTATTAAAAGCATTTACAACTGGGATAGATGAGGAGTTCGCAACAAATGTTACGTTCAAAGTGCAACCCTTTTGCTTTGTTGCTGTTTTAATTCCCCTTTTTGTTCTCGATTTCAAGACTCACTGGAATTTAATCGAGACTATAGTTGACACGGAACGCGTACAATTTGCCAACGCGTGTGGGGGTCAAAGAAAATTGCGAAAATATGGCGGAAGGCGGTTCGATTACGTTAAGTAATTAACAATTTATTTATTTATTATCCCTCTCTTGTTCAGGGCTCTCAACGGGCTTATGCCCAATTACAGAGTGACCCGCAATTCCGAGGACTATTAAATAGGCCAGTGGTGGATACGAATGGCAACTTTTCAAAATGTCCACCGCGATTTGATAGATCAAAGGACGGCGACGTAAATGATTTGTTTGACTCCGTGGAAATAAACAAAGATTACGTATGCGTTTCGGACGAACATGCTTTTAGATGGATTTGCGACTAAGCGGTTCCAAGGGGTACGAACAACCCTAAACGACTGGAAAAGTGTTATAACGCGCAAGCTTAGAATGCAGGGCACTATAAAATACCATGTGCACTTTGAAATCAACACACGCCGCTGATCGGCCAGCTAGCTCCGTTAGCCAAATAGTTAACAGCGTAGAGAGAGATATGCTCTTACTCAGGGTAGTAGGTAAGTGAATTAAAAACTTTGACCACAAATTATTATAAAAGGTTCCAAGTAAATCTCCGCCACTAATACTTACTGGTGCTTCGATTCAAATCTTTCGGGCGCCACCTAATTCCACTAACAATTTTATCTGCAGCCACCGGAATTAGGAAAGGTAGCTTCAGTATAAAAAGAGTCAACAATTGACCCACAAGAAAAATTTGTGTGTTTATTTATTTATTTATTTATTTATTTATTTATTATCCCTCTCTTGTTCTGGGCCCTCAACAGACTTGCGCCCAATTACAGACTGACCCGCATAACGCTTTTTTTTAGAGGTGCCTCTGCAGAAGGACTTAAGTTGTTCTATACTACTCCGGTATTTACCTTACGAATTAGGAAAACTGCAGGAAAACCTAATTCGGAGTAGCCGGCAGAATGCTCGACACTGGTCCAAGGTCATTCCCATCTCTGCCACAGATGAAAAATTCACCTCAACCCAGGTTCGAACACCCGACCTCTGGATTTATAGCCCAACGCTCTACCACTGAGCCATAAAGCCGGTCTGAGCCATAAAGCAACCAACGAGTATGCAAAATACAAAAAAATGAAATCTTCCCATGAACGATTAACACAAAAATTAACCCACCAACAACCCCTGAAGTTATGTGACACCTCATACCGCTAAGCAACGACAAGTATAATTACTAGAAATTAAAACTGAAATGATGTACTATAATCGGTAGCTTGAGGTGTTGAAGTTAATCGTAGTAACGAGCTCTTTACCTTACAAGTGATTACTTCTCTAAAGTAATTCGTATTTGATAGTTAAACAGTCCTAAAGATCAAGCATACTAATTACAAGTACAAATTTCCAATTACATATGTGGGTCAAATAAACTCAACAAACAAAAGAAAAAAAAGTTGAAGGTACGTCACCGCTAA